TATAAAAAATGGAACCATTGATTATTCGATTTTTCACGGCAATCTCGTACTTCGTGCGTTTAAATCAAGAATAACACACTTATTAATGTTTATAAGTTTACTTACAATAACTTAGATTTTAAGAATTAGCCCCAAAGAACTAAAAACAGAAAGAGTTATAATCTTACAAAAACAAGAACAGATTACAAATTTATCAAGAAACACAAAGAGTAACAAGAAAATGTAATTTACTAAGACTGTCCTCACAATAAAAAATTCTCACCGTTTTCAGACATCGTGGTAGCACGACACGCCGCTTGAAACAATTAGGGACGCGAAGTTAAAACTGCTTCCTGCCTGCACTATAAGCCGCGATTAATGTCAAGCATACAACACTGTACCCGAAGGGACATCTGATCAACGATGACGTCAATCCGCCAAAGTCGGCAGTTTGACATCTGTGACCGTTCCAACACATCTTGGGCAAAGGGGGTAAAGCATGCAGTTAATTCTGCTGCGGATCCAGGTTGTTGAGAAAACTGCAATTAGAACAATATTGTCCTTGTAACTATGTCGCAAAGTCATCGTAATCTCCTTAATACATTGATTATTGGTCTTTAAGTGAAAATATTATAATAAAACAAAAAGAATTAAGCACGACCCCCCAACAAATTATTGTGTCAACCCTATATAGTCTTACCCCCAACCTGGGTTTTAACCTCTGGGCCGGGAGCAACTTACACCAAAACAGCACATCCAGTCTCTGGGTAAACTTCCACCCAACATAGATTCAGGTGTATTGCGGTAACTAAAACGTGTTTATTCTGGTGAGCCTGCCGCATATTGCACCGGATTCAAGCAACGCCCTGATTGCCCGCCCTGGCAGCCCTATGCGTATGAATATTGCGCACCGTACATTTTTAATGGCTTCATTTTCGTCACTCAAATACTGACGACAGGGACACCAAGTGCCATTTTGTATTAATGTTAGTGTTATTATTACTACTGTTTTAGCTTATTATTACTAGCACAAATAGGTCACTGGGGAGACAATTTGTTGTGAATTTTTCAACCGTGGGAGACATTTGTCATGTCTCCCTACTGCTCAAACTACCAGAAGGAGGCCGAATTGTACAGTCCAAATTTTGAGAGATGATAGATTAGGGTCTAAAATGAAAACATGCAAATTTTGTTTTTGATCGGATTTGAATTATTGGGACAGTAATGTTGGAAAAAAATGGTTCACGTTCTTATGGGAATGTCTCCCTTTGGACCCATTTTCGTCAATCGTTATTATTACTTAGTATTATTATTGTTATTTAGTCAGCAGTTAACACAGGTCACATTTATCTCTACCATTCCCCCATGATCACCATAAGTAAGGTCAAGGACTACTTACTCCTGGTAAGCCACCAGCTAAAGTCAAGAAAAGAATATGTAAAATGACTGACCCTTTGTGGCCTTCCTTTACAATAACGATGACGCTACTAAAAAAAATTAATTTTGACATAAGATCAACAAATAAATACAACTATGGCAATCTATTAAAACATGGGGGAATCCCCTCTATTGTACATTTTCCATTGTTGACGAAATCTATTGGAATTCCTGTAAACTTTCAAGGGGGTGCCGTATATAGGTGTATCGCGTTAGGGGGTCCCCCATTTTGGTAAAACATAATGTGCTGGGTATGTAAAATGAAGAGAGGGCCCGGTTGACAATCAAAATCGTGCCATTTTCCCGATGTGATCTCGGTAAAATCGTCACACACTGCTACACATATTGCCCACTTGGGCGATGGAAATTACACAATTTTGTATGGAGACACTGCGGCCACGCAGCCGAAGTTAGTACTTGTAAGTGGAATTTTTCATTTTGGAGATCGATGACTGTTTGCTGAAAGGGGGGCGGTATTGAAATATATGATAACAAGAACACTGCCTGTCAATTTCGAATGATAAATAGAATTATAAAAGTCCACCGATTCCCTTGAATTTCCTTGTGTTCTCCACTTTACAATGTTTGTACAAAATAGATCTGGCTTTATACCCGCGCCATGGTGTTGGGGTAACATGTTTCATACGTGTCCTGAAAAAATGCTTCCAAGATTTTGACTGCTTTAATTCAACTTTCAATAGCACTTCAAAAGGTACCACAATATTGAATTTTAGTTTCAGTTTTCATCAACGCAGTCTAATTTTCAGTCGCCGTTTACAAAGCAGAAAAAACTTCAAGCATTTTAACGGTTTCCATTCAGGACAAGCCCAGAGGGCGCACTAATCACAACTGCATAGGACATCGCCCATTGTGTGTGTACAAAAGGCGCGACCAAAGAATGGCGGCGAGCTCCATTTTAGGAGGATAATGTGACGCTGTTCGCCATGCAATTAGTCACAATTTATCATTTGGAGACATTTTGTCTCATGTATGAATGTCTTTTCCGGAATTAACGGATCGTTTTCATTTTAACTAAACCTGTGTAAACGGACTATGATTTACTAGTTTATGTGTGTGTGTGTTTTTTTACTTATTTTCACACCTGTTGTCTAATGTCTTGCCTGGGCAATGTTTGCACTTTGGGTCATTTCAATCGTGAATTCTTGGATGTGTATTAAAATTGAAGGTCTTCCAAGACCCACAATAGGTTATACAGTGTGATTTCCAAACTGTCCACTTGTTTTCCGTCTGATTTCAATGAGCCAACACTAAAGAAATTCATCTCCATTGAATGTGAAAAAGCCTTAACTTTAATTTTACACACTCGTAGGAAACACTGTACGGTTATTTCGCTCAGCTACTGCAAAAAATGATTGTAAACCGATAAGCATGCTAATCTTTTCCGTTAGCACAAATTGCGCAGACACCTGTAACTCAGCTCAAAAAAATTTAATTCCAAACTTGACTGAACATTCAAATTTACCAACTAATTTCCGAAAAGACGAAAGACCGTTTTAATGGAAAACGAATAATTGTGTAACATTGAGAAAAATTCTTTCATTGCATTAACTGAATGTACATGTTTCTTACTTCACTCGACGGAAACGCGTCAGCTCTATGTCTCTCGCGTTTCGTCTTTGCCCTGAAGATGAATATTAAGTCACTCATGTCACATCGTCTGTCACACGATTTCGGTTCTGCAAGTGAAATAAATACAACTCATAGCTATCTTCGAAATTTTTGGAGTGAAATCTGGGGTAAATAAACGACAAATTTATCATTCCGTTTTTAAAACCACTTTCAGAGATGAGTAATATTTCAGATGGCCCAATCTACGTTTGTATGAAGGCTTAAAGACAAGCATAATAGCACAGACGTACAGAAAAATTCTGAATGTTCAACTCACAAGTCAAAAGCTCCTCCTTCTAGTCCAGGTTGTTGGCATTTCATTACGAATGACGTCCAGGGTATAAAACCTGGTCACAAAACAACGACACATTTGGTTTTAACATTTTTTCCCAGTCTACCTTGTTGAATCTAATTTTTCACGTTTAAAAGTTGTGCTTGGCCTTATCTATCCGTCTGTGGTGTTTATAAATTTCAGAACGAATCATGGACTGCAAAATCGAGGAAATATGGGAGAGATAACGTTATTTTTTTACACTCAAGTTATCCGCTCTTGAGAGGTAAAGTGCACGCACTACGCCTGCGCGAAAGACGAACTCAAAAGTACTGCCAGTTAACAGAAAGTTTATTATTGAAATCGAGGTCTATCTGTCATTATAAAATTGCCCGTAAAATGTTACAATCCACGGCATTTATCCCAAGTTTGACATACACGCATGAACATTTACACAGTGCACAGTACGTGGTTGGTTCGGTTTTGTAGGCCTACTTATAAAACACGTATGGGTCGCGCTGTGCATAAGTATCAAGGATAAAACAGGAAAGTACAAAAAGGAAAAAAAATAGCTACAAGGAACTGATTGTGTTTGCAGTTTAGACTGTGGCCTGTCGTATGCAGTGTCTCGCTCTTCCGGGAAAAATTCTACAATTGAGAAAATGTTTGGAAAAAAAGACCAAGTGATCGATTGAAAGTGGAAATGATTTATCATCTTAACAAGCACCTTGAGGCTAAATTTCATAAAAAAATTCAGCAATTTTTTTAAAGATTCAGTAGTATTTTATTCGGTTAAAGCCTTCCAGAGCACATAAGAAGAGTTCCAATGTGACCGCCGATTTGTAAAATTTGTGCAAACAAAGTCTTCAAAACGAGAAGGCTCAACAAAGGATTGGAAAATTGCTATGAACGGGGGGCTTATGGTCGTGCAACAGCTGGTGCGTAGCAAACTTTGGCTGTGCTCTGGCGAGGGACATATCAGGCATGCCAGAAAGTGGCAGTTGTCCAAAGCAGTTCAAACTCCTTATATGTCTTTCCTACATAGGTACACCAGAATGTGCACGAGAGCCCGCTAGTAACCACCTGTCTTTCTTTCACCGATGGGGGTGCACTACAGATCGGGGCGGATCACACACTGTGGCCGTATCCGAAACGGGCTCCCAGAGCTACGGCAAGGTCTATGCATATCTCCGCACATTTCCTACAGAGCTCTAGACAACAGATTCGGATGCAGCCACAGACACGACCTTGACTCCATAGGCTGCGTGACGCCTTCCTTCACTACTTTCGGTCGTGTACACTGTTCAGGATGAAAATACAGTATATCCTGATTGTAGGCCTAGGACATTTAAATCGCACACTTCCAGAAGTTAGTCGCGCAAGGTTTAATGGAAACTAACATAGCGCGGCAAAATCGTACGCATGGGAATGAGGTTGGGCTTACATACCTTAACATAAATGACGTGCGAAGAGGAAGAACGCAAACATATGAAGAAAAAACGGGGCGGAAAGAACCACTCCACCCACACACGTCGCATGTTTTGCAACCGCTCAAAACAAGGAGGGGCCAGACATTTCTACGGTCCCTTTGCTCAAATTTCGAAAAAATCCTGTTCTTTATTACCTGATCCATATAAAGAAATGTTTACGAGACAGACCGTTTAAGACACCTAGTAATGTTAGATTCTGCCTATAATAAGGACACTGCAAGGTCCCAATCCTTCATTTGTCAAAATAACCATTTCTTGATAATACATGTACACGGACAAGGTTCACGTTAAAACAAGGTAATTTAGCAAGTCCGGAAGCCCTCTTATCAACGCGGTTCTAATGTTTGGAAAACGCATCGTTTACGGAAACACAAGCCTGTTAAAGATTTACGGTTAACATGCAGGTGGCAAGGGGAGAAACGTTCATTTGGCAACAACACAACAAAGATGATTTCTTGGACAATAGACAGTTGTAACACCTGAGTTTTCATTTTCAAACAAGCAAGGCATTTTTCGATGAACTTTTACTGGCATCGCTTTTGATGATCTCCTGCAGTGACATCAATCAACAACCAACACTGTTACAGCAAGTCATCTTACATTTTAGGAAATGTATAAAGTAATTTAACTGGAAAAAGAGGAATAACCACATATATAACTGTAATTCATAAAACTCCCCAATTAAACTGCTACTTTATAGAATATCAACAATTCATCAACAAGCAATTTATCCAACAGTTCCTGCTTTGTGCCTACTGCATTGTTATTGTGTTAGATTAGGTAAGAATGCAGATAGCTGGGGTGGTACTGCGTGCCAATTATAGATGGAAACAGTGAGGGCGAGTTTGGCACGTGTCGTCGAGAGCTCGGGCATTAGTCGCGTCCATTCTATATGTATTTATCAGGTCTTAAACACACGTTCAAAGCTTGAGAAACTAAGTTTGCTTCGCTTACATCTTGCCAATCATACGATGTAAACATTACATGTATATGTCCAAGAGGCTACCTATATGTTTGCCTAAGTAATTAAGATACTAAAACGATACTAAAACACTACATTGTACATGACAGATAATTTCATGTATTTAAATACACTTCACTTAAAACAAGATCAACAAAAACTCCAATGGAAAACACGAAGTTGCAAGCAACAGGGCTAGCATCATGTTCAAATGTATACAGTCTACATGTACATGTAATTGTAAAATTTGTAAGATTTGCTGAAGTTGGATTGTACAGGAACAATATTACTGTATTACTTCAAACTTAAAATGATCACAGGACAATCCACGTCAAAATACAAAATGTACTGCAAAATATACTACAAGATGAGTGTACAAATTTAAAACTTCCACCATGCATAGATTCAAGCATCTTCAAGGCAGTGCGTATGAACTACAGTATGTACAAATTAAAATATCAGAAAAAGACACAGTGACAAACAAATAAACATTTCTAAAACCATCAACAAGCACACATTACACAAGTCATGTTGGTCAAAAGGTTTTGGCTTCCGAAAACGTAACCGTCTATTTCAATTTTTTCTACTCCTTGAAAATAATTACCAGTACACCTACAATTTTGCTACATTATACACTATTGGCACTTTTACATGCAGGGAGAATTGGGGTATACCCTTGTTCGTAGCACAACGCTGTGTATCGATTTCGCCTGACAATCATACGATGAATGTAAAACAGGTGGTGTGTTTTTGGCATGGCACACAGGATTTTTTTAAATCGACCTAGCCAAACAAAAGTTTGCTCACAGCTTATGGTGTTGTCGTTCTCTTCCAAATGAGCATCAGGATGGTACCTGGTTCTGCATTCGGAGTCGGTGTGGTTCCGAATGTGTAGCCGATCTATGCACTTTCGTGGGTACATCCACATGTGTGACCAGGGCCACGAAAGTGGAAGTGGTTTACGTGCCACAACCATATTGTCTAAATGACACATATTGTCGTAGACGATGGCCATTTTGGTCCAGTCATCTGGAGGGATCTGTTGACAATATGTACGGAGCCAGGATAGCAGGATAATGAAGACCTGCGATGGAGACTCAGACCTGCATGTTAATTTTTAGCAATAACACAAAAACAAAACACAAAATAAGGCATGGGAATTATCAAAGAAATGGACAAGGTTTTACTGCCTATATTCTATGTTGTCAAAGTGCAAATTGTTCCATAGCTGTGATAAAATTAAATACAAATGTAGTTTAATGTACTCCAAACTCAAAAAAAAAAGGGACGAAATGATTAAGTTATTTGTGGTTGCGACATGTGAAGTACACGTACATCGGCACTGGCAGCAACCATGCTTGTGTCCTCATGCAACAAAGTGAAGAGTGGTTTGCAGAAAGGAATCATAATATTTGTCTCGTTTTCTTCAAACTCCCTAGGAATAATTTGGCAGCAGCCCTTCTGGATCAGCCCTTCACAAAATTGGACTAAAGCGGATGATTTTTTTTGGTGGGGATTTCAAGCTACAGGGGTGCTTTCAAAAAATTAATACTTCTTAATTATCAAAAATTCCAGTTAGGAAGAGTTTACCCTTTTGTACATTCATTTGGATAATTTTAGAAAATTAATTCTACAATTGTGCATAATGGAGACACACGATTTTGGAAAGAAACACTTTCTCCCTTTGAATTGGAATCTAAATAAACATACCAAATGAAAGATTCTAAAATAATACACACAGAATGAAGTGAAGACGGGAGTTGCAAAAATATGATGATGCATCCATAAAATCAAGAGGAATATAAATTGACGTCCCAAAGCACATCTCATTTCTACATGGCATAGAACTGGAATGGTCACTCTTTGGCTTCACAACTTTAAAAACTCACTTGTACAATGTTTGCCAGTACTCAATGTGACCTCCTCCACGAACAACAAACAGATGGCCCCGGGACCACTTCTGAAGCCGGATTTTGGAACCAGTGTCCTTCTTACAGGCAGTGGGTTTCTCTTCAACACATTCTTCCATAATACTGCCTATGTGTGGTGAGTTGGCTTCAAGAAATGGAGCTGTACCTATTCAATTTAATAATTTAGGACAGATTAATTAAAACCAAATAGGAAATACATTCAAGGCCCAAAATCAAAAACAAGATGGGATAACAAGTATGTTGCAAATTACAATTAATCAGACCGGGACAAACTTAGCTACTGTCATAACCCAGTTAGAAATACAGTCAATACTTCATAACGACAGGTCCTTGTGACTTAGCAAATGATCATGCTACATGTAAGACAACAACTTTTGCAGTATCAAACAGCACAAAAAACACCAACAATAGAGGGATCCCAATACGACGCTTGTAGCGTCGATCTGCGCACTTCCGTGTTTAAAAACAAGGCTGTGTGTGTCAGCTTCAATTCTTAATACGATCGGTCGGACGATTGAAAGTAAGGAGTCAAAACACAAAATACATAAAGGTATGTTAAATTCAGACTTTTCAAGCTTAAAATTTTTTGGAAGAGTCTTGCAGGATGACTCGACAGGTAAAATCAAAATAAAAATAACGGCAATTTACGGCAAGCTAATGTATATGCGATGGTCGTGACTCGTGTATCTGCATGTGCAGTGGGCGTGGTTTAAACTGAAGTGGTATCACACTTACGAACCGGATACTGCATGTACTGTGTCGACTCCGCAGGAGTGCGCAACGAAGTTCAACATAGAGAGCTGCGGTTTCGATGCCAATATGCGCGCAGACAGCGCTAATGTTAATTCCCTCTATGCGCCAGGAAACTCACAGGTACATTTTCATAAGCTTAACCTCGTATTGATAGTGCTCTTACAACATAGATATCAACCAAGATTCTATGAAAAACACATACAACAGTCGATTGTGTAACCAAACTTTATGTCCCTAAACATGTTACGTCTTGATTGAAATATTTACCGTACTTCATACAAAGGGTAGCAAATATTCCCATTTCTATAGCAACACTAACATGTGCTCAATGCGAACAAAAATTTACTTGCCTTGAGCAACGATAACAGACTCGCCACCACAAGCCACAGGAGGAATGGTTGCCAGTACATCACCAACTTTAGCAATTGTAGTTTCTGTGTCCAAAAGAAAAAAAAAATATCTACAAATTTAATCAACATCAATATCATTGGCTTATTAACATGAGATAAACTTTGTACACAAGATGTGTTAATCATGAAACATAATTCAATAAAAAAAGTCTGTAATTAGTATAACAAAGTTTACTTTGGCCAAGCAATGGGAAAGCTTTAATGCAATCATGTTTCATCAACGTTTCTGTTTCCATTTTCTGGTGTAAGAAATGCAACATACATGTACATTTGACTTTTTATAACAACTTCTGGATTCTGTGCAATAATTTTTCACAAAGCAAAACTAGGCAGCAGATTACACAATGGTGAGGTGTACATGCAAACTTCAAATATCAATTTATCGATTTTAGCGTGCTGCGGATTATATACTGGGCGGCTTCTTTTCATAAAAAATGTTGTATACCGGAATTGAATGGTGCACTTTCACCAACAAAACAAAGGCTCACGGTACAAAGTTATCAAACAGGTTCATTCATGTGCTTGGCATGCACATGTACAACATACATTCAAGCATTAAATTTAGTGGGCAAACTAATCATGCTTTACGTAACACTTGTAAGCCTAAACTTTCATGCCTCTGTGATGATTGGTACCAAGTGAGTGTCCGTTTCAATTGAAACACCTTAAAAGCAACTACAGTCAAGGCTCGTTTACAAGAGCAACATTAGTAAAACATATTAAACGGATATTTTTTTCCTTCAAAATGACAAAGGATTCCTGTTACAACCAAATAATTAAAAAAGAGTAAAGACCACTTATTGACAAGGTTATACTTTACACAAATTAGTACAACTAAATGTAAACTAAACAGAAAAAGAAATTCATACCATTAGCAATCCTGGAGCCAACATCACCCAGAGTACTTTCAGAATCCAGAACAGAACCACTTGTACTGGCGCCTGAAAATTAAAAAACACACACAAAAAAGGGAAATTCCTCTGACAAAGTCATCATCAGGTTTGAAAGGAAAATTCGTATGTGAATAATAACGATTATTCGTCCACTTCTGTGTGCTGGTAAACGTATATGAGCAAAAAAGTATAAAATTTCAAATAGGTATACACGCCAATCAAAAACATCAGTAAAGAGTGGCTTATAACAACAAGGATCCGTTTCTTAGGTACTTCTTAATGAAAAATAAACAAGTCCTAAGGTCAATTCACAAGTCCAAAAGGCATCTAACGACATGTATTGCAAATTATAAAACTGTACACAAATAGGGACAGGAGTGTAACGCATCTGTTCATTACTTTGAGATTCCTGGCACTGGACACCACAGTGTTTCAAGAAGTCACGAAGACCAGTTGGCGTTGAAGATCTCTCTGCGACCACACAGTGATCAGCACAGAAGGCCTTGCCATGAGCTGGAGATTCGGTGCAGACATCCGGAATACTTGGAACTGGAATATCACCAACTTGGTTCTGAATTCAACATATATCAAGAAAAACAAAATAACACGCCGCCAAAAGAAAAGGGTCAAGACAACTCGTCCGTTGCGACAAATCGACTCAGGACAAATCAACCGTCAAGACAACTAGACCGTCTATGTGCCTATATAAAAGACAACTCACTCGTCAAGACAAACCGTCCATCAACACAAGTTGTCTGTTGAGACAAGTCGGCTAGTTCATATGGGTGCGCCAAGCTAACTCCGCACTCTGGGACACAAGAACCTCCATGTAATTTGACTTCACAATCCAAGTCAACATTTGTAATCCATCGCAATGCAGTGCAAACGCGGAATGCAACCGAACGGCATTCCTCCTTTACCGTGCCATGTATGTAACATCCATTGCTTCTAGATGCCCCAAAACATCGCCTAGCAGTTTCAGCTAAGCATTTATCTCCATTCAAAAGGAAAGCAAATGTGCCAAGTTTAACATCCACACGTGATTGACACATACTTGTCTCTCAGTTTAAGTCAACTTGTTTTGGCAGACGACTTGTCAGAACGGTCAAGTTGTCCAATGGTCAAGTTGTCTTAAAAGTCAAGTTGTCTCAATGGATGAGTTGTCTGGTAAGCACAAAACTAGACAAAGGAGGCATCACAAACTGCAAAGGATTTGGATGGACTTTGCAGGCAGAGCCTAAACGCAATTGTCAATACTGAGTGGTTGTAAATCATAAACACACA